AAGTTTTCAGAACTTTATGTAGTTATTATCATATCTTGTTGGAACTTCTCTCTTGTTTTTTTTTTCTTCACTTGGTAAATGTATAATTTAAAAAACAAAGGCTTCTGTTAACCATTTTCTCAGAGTTTCAGAAAAAAATTGAGGTACAAGCCTTAGAAGTAAATTGAGTTGACATGTAATGTCTGTTTCTGTTGAAAATATTAACCTCTTTTACTTTAGTTGAAGCTTTTTGCTTTATTTTTCAGGCTGTGGCTTCGCTCCCTGAAGATATGAGACCTGGTCCTGATCTGTATGGTTTCCCGTGGGAAATAGTGATTTGTGCTGGCATTGTTGGAGCCTTTACAATTCTCTTGTTCCTGTGTAGAAGTTATCAATCAGTAAGTGTTCAGTTTTCATGCAGATATGTAGAGTGAATTAATGTTTTGAATTTAAATTGTTACTCTGTTCAAGATACATAATGCTTCAGAGTTTTAAATCTGTTGTGATTTAATTTAGAATCCCCTTAAAACGAAATTAAGAAGTAGTCTGTTTTGTGAAGACAGTAAGTGTTTGTATGTGTACTGAGTGACTGTTGTCATTAGAGGAAATGTAATGAAACTCACTGTAATAAGGCTTTCTTTTTCCTTCCCTTTTTAATTTCTACACTAGACTTTCAAAGTTAGCCCTTAAATTGTTTTCATGGGGTATAGAGGTCTTCCCTAGGGCATATGTATTGCTGTGTGTATTACTATCTCTGTCTACCCTGGCTATAGCGAGATCAGCTGAGGTCTTTCAAGGTAACTGTAAGCAAAAGCAGTCCAGATGGATTCCTGTCAAGGGAGGCTTTTTAAAAGTTTTTGTACTTCATGGAGTGATTTTGGTGCTAGGTGTAATAATGCTCATGTTTGAAGATAGGTTGCATAGCAGTTTAGTTTTTCAGGTATGAGCAATGCTGCTTTATTCTGCAGCAGCGATTCAGATTGTGTGGAAAGGGATCTGTGTTTGTATAAATTAATCTATTTATAATTTGGGTCATTCCTCCTGCTTTCTAGCAGCATCCCTCTAGGTGGTATGAAAGTGGCGTTTCAGCTGAAATCAGTCCAGCAGCAACTCTAGTATTGTTTTCCTGCTGCAGATGTCACTAAAGCAATAGATATCACAGAAGTTATTGATAGCTCTTTCAGTCATCCATGCTTAGAACTGCCCTGACTGCGCTTTGGAGAGTTAATGGTTGCTAACCCAAAACCAAACCCCATTATTTTTGAGTATTTTTTAGGATTATAGGATAAGGTGTGCTTATGACTTTCTTCCCCTTTTTCTGTTACTTGGACTCCTTGGCCATCCCATGGCTTTAAATGAGGGGGAAACTGGGGGAATCTGAGGGACCCATTGTATGTTAGGCACATGATCCAGGCCCAGCCTTGAGAGGAGTGCTGTGTTGTAAAGTTTTTGTGGGTTCAGCCAAATTCTGCATCTCTTGTCCAGGCCGTTTGTGACCGATTTTGTCTCACAGTTTATTAGATTTTGATTCTGGGACATTAGACCCCAAG